CGTTAAGCTTACGGGTGCTTAACAAACCGTTACAACCTGAGAACTCGAGTCCCACGAGCCTCAACAACACTTGCTCGGAGATACCGCACTCCAAGACTTCAACCCGAAGGAAAATACCTTTCCTTCGTACAACCAAGGGAAACAAGCTTCCCTTAACGTGTATACAACACTAAGACACTCAAGAACAAGGCTCTCTTTTAGAGTAGATGTTGAGTAAACTATATACGCTCAAGAACAACTCAAACTTCACAAATTGGCTCTAGAAAGCTATGAAAAATGATGTTGTTTTAATGCAATGATGATATGAATATTGTGAAGTGAATTGATGTGTAAAGCAGACCCAAACACCCCTTTTTATAGTGCCAAAATAGGCTCCAACGGACCAATGCATTAAAGGGGTGATTGGCTTGATTTATGTGATTGAATAAATTTGGGATCTGCAGGATATTGGCTTCCCATCGATGTTTGGAACTTACCCATCGCTGGTAAGCCAATTTTCCTTCAGTTTTGAAGCCAATGGTTACCTACCCATCGATGGGTACAAGCTTCCCATCGCTGGGTGGGAGGTTGACTTCCAAACAAGGAAAGAATCAACCTTAAATGACTTCCAACGGTCATGCCTTCCCATCGATAGTTTAGCCTTCCCATCGCTGGGTTCCCATCGATGGGTAAAGCTTCCCATCGCTGGGTAAGGGCATTCTGCCTTGTGATAATATTGGACCAAGGCTTGAATAGCGATGGGTAGAGCTTCCCATCACTGTTTGGCATGGTTCTGGAAGTTGGTTTGGCTAAGGGGCTACTTACCCATTGATGGGATGTTCTTCCCATCGCTGGGTGGGTGGTTAGCCAAAGACCTGTGGTTTTTGCCTTAACCACGGCCTAGCCAACCGATGCAAAAACCGACCGAAAAAAAACAAAGTTCTCCAAAATAAAAACCAAGTGTTTAAAACACTTATTTGATGTATTTGGCTAAGAAATCAAGTGAGACATTTTAAAAATCACGTCATTTGAGTAAAAACCACGGCTAGCCAAGTTTACGCCGTTTTGCGTGGTTTTTGTCAAACGACTAAAAGCGAGAGATGGTTTTCAAAGTGTTTTTGTTGGAGAACCGTTTAAACATGCCAAAGAGTGAAAGCAGATCATAAAGTGCTGAAAACCACTTGGTTGGTTCGGATGCCAAAAACCAAACCCGACAACTGAAAGCCGAACGCTGGTTTCTGAAAGCCGAACACTGGATGGCTTGGTTTTTGGTTTGGGCGAACACCAAGTGTTTTTAATGACTTAAACAAGTTTAAAACCATTTTTATGATGTAAGAAATGCAATGAGAGTTTTTTGCCTAAAGAGCCAAGGTGTAAAGATTGGGTCGGTCTTGATCACAATAAAGACCGACTCAATACTATGATTAAGGTCTTCGTTCTTGGTCTTCGTTTAGCTCTTGCTCTTATCTTCGTTCTTCGCCTTGTATATTCAATGTTCGACTTGGTCACGGCGGTTTGGCATTATCAAAACCAGTTACAAAAACGAACACGGCTTTAGTACGAAAACGGGACAAGCCCGTGTTTCAACACTACTCTCGAAACCTCAAAGAAGGGGTATTTTTAAATTTAATGTTATTTTTATAATGTAAAGTGTTGCTATTGTGGTCCTAAGATCAACATGTAAAGTGTGAATTATTACATATATTTTATGGGCTTATAACTAGAATTTTTTTACCGATCTAATACATATAATCATCTTATGTACCAAGATTCATAAAACAACTATGAACATAAGGATCACCAAATAATTTGCCTATAGCGTAATGTTTTCTCCTTCACTTTTTAGCTTTTAGGTCCACATCTTTATTTTCCGGATTATGTTTTGTAATTTTAATATTAATGAAATATTTATTTAATTATTTTATTTTAAGTAATTTTAATTTTAGTATATATATATATATATATATATATATATATATATATATATATATATATATATATATATATATATATATATATATATATATATATATATATATATATATATATATATATAAGAAGAAAGAAAAAGGGATGAAATTGAAAGTGATTACAAAAAGTACGGAGTATTAGAAGATGTTTGGCACTGTAGTGGACTAGTTCCGTACCCGTGTGTTGCACGGCTAGTAATTTGAAAAAGTGTAATCATGTGGTAATTTTACCTAAATTAGAAAATGAGAGGTAATAATTAAAGTATTTAATGATATTGTAAATATTTCAAACATAACAAAACGAAATTGGGGAATGTTGTTAGAAAAGTACATAATTGAAAAATTAAAGTTTCTGAAAAACTTCTTTGTAAACAACATTTGATGTGGTATTCACCGTGGCTACATCGTCCTTGCAAATTAAAACTTTTAAACCACGACGATTCGTTACTCGAGAGACAGTGACATAAAGTTGTCCATGACTAAACACTTGTTTTTTGAGAAGTAATCCCACATGCTTCAATGACTGGCCTTGACTTTTGTTAATCGTCATTGCATATGACGTCATAATCGAGAACTGCTTCCTTTGAAATTTGAAGGGAATTCGTGTATTTGAAGGTGTGAGAGAAAGTCTTGGAATCACAACCTCGTTCCCCGCATTCTTACCACCCATCACTTTCCCTTGAATCAAGTGATGCCCTAGTCTAGTAACAATGAGTCTTGTTCCATTGCATAAACCCATAGACTGATCAATATTCCTCAACAACATAATCGGAGTTCCCACCTTTAATTTAAGTTCATGGTTAGGCACTCCAGATGCCCTGATATTGTTTAAGAATTCAGGGGAATGCAAGTAAGAAATGGCATCAAAATTTGAATCTGATTTGCAAACACTATCTGAGCTTAGATAAGTCTTCACTTCTCCAACTGCATTTATACTTGTCATGTAATCATGTATTACATCAACCACATCCAATGTTGGTGCGAGAATTGCACGTTCTTGCAAGTACGTTGAATCTTTTGAAATCTTGTCGAAATCAGGATAAGTGGCTTGAATGATTGCTGCGACAGGATCACTTGTGTCTTCAATAGCATATCTTCCGGAATATTTACATCGCAGCATCCATCATTCTCTTCTCCAGCAAGTCCATCACCAATACTTGCTATCCAATTTGCAAAGTCGACCATACTCTCATAGCTACTATCTTTAGCCATTTGTTCTAGACGCATATTCTTAGTGAGACGTAACACAGTACAAAAATCCAAGACATATGAAGAATTAATTGCAGCATTTACTATATCTTATCTAGTGCCTTTAAGAATCACTGGTAGTATTTGACGAAAGTTGCCTCCAAAGACAATTGTTTTACCACCAAATGTTATGTCTGCATTCTTTGGATCACGAACTGACATTATATCACGCAATGTTTTATCCAATGCTTCGAAGCAATATTTATGAGTCATCGGTGCCTCATCCCAAATGATTAGTTTTGTTCGCAAGAGTGACTCTGCTCGAGGTGTTCCATGTTTAATATTGCAAGTGGAGTTTTCATGTGGACTTATTGGAATGCCAAATCGCGAGTGTGCAGTCCTTCCCCTGGAAGTAACTATGATGCAATACCGCTTGAAGCAACATTTAATACTATTTCCCCTTTCGAGCGCAATGCGGCTGATAAAGTCTTCCACACGAAAGTCTTACTTGTACCACCGTAACCATAAACAAAGAAAATTCCACCCACTCCATTCTCTACAGATGTCATTATTGCATTGTATGCATTTAGCTGCTCCTTGTTCAAGGAACTCATCATGTCAACATGTTCACGTGCCAACGTTGTTCGGTCATACTAAAGTTCATCTAGTATTAACCTGTTCCGTGTGTTTGAAGATGCATCCATGATTGGAAAAATAGTCACGAAGACTTTTCCCACGTGCTCTAAGAAGCATCTCTACCTCAATCAAGGCATAATTTTTGATTTCATCTTCACTTAGGACCAAACCTATACACAAAGATAGTACACTTTCATTGTGTGAAACTGTTAGAAAATAATGTTTTTATTATTAATAACTCTTACCTTGATGCCCAAGAAGGAATCGTTGTCGGTGAAGTATGTCATCTGCCATGCATTCCTAACATTTCTCCCAAACATGCTTTAGTCATGGACACATTTGTCAATAGGGTGACAAATAAAGTGCGCAATTGTGCTGCCGAACACCAATGACTTGCCTCAGTAAATGCATCTATGTATTCCTTATCATCGTCTAACAGTCCAAGTGCATAACATGCATCACAGTAAGTGTCGTGAACAATATCGACAGTCTTCAAATCATCGTAACTTGTAAGGCCACGAAACTTATAAGCGCCAAAAATGATAAGGGACGTCAAGATTGACGTAATCGTTGAATTGATCAACATACTTTCCCCACAATGTGCAAGTCAAACGATCTCCCCCGTAAATTTGTAAGATTAATGATTATACTAAAAAAAGATATGATCAATCGTAGAATTATTAATGTACTCGAGATCCTCCAAAGTCATCTCCATGAGCTTTTCTTCTCTGTGTCGAGTGGTGTATGTTCGCTCACTTGAACGTCCAACAATCTTTCCAATCACATCTATCAAAATTATGTAGTTAGATTTCATTTCTTTATAATGAAGTATATGCAAATTTTAGACAGATTCCAATATCTGTTAATAAAGCATCTTTCAAGATGGGTTGCTCACGAACACTATTAAAGGAACGTAGGTCACACATGAAATCAGGAAAGCTTTTGGTACTCATTGTTTTGACATCAGTTTTGCTAAAGAAAGCCAACATAAATCGATGCGGAGTTGTCTTGAAGGTTTGACAGTTGTCATGAATCAATAGATTTTTGATAGCGTAAACTCCTCCCTCCACGATTTGTGCCCGATAACGCGAATTATATGGTTTCTTAAGCTGACAATGAATCCTCGTACCCTGTTTTTTTTTCAGATCCAATACAATGACTATTAATTAATTTTTTCAGGCAAATGGGATTTAGTCTATATATCTTTTTTGTTTTTATACGAAACATTCTTCCAATGGAGTAAATGAATTTTTAATTAGATTTAAAATAAATACTTTTTTTAAATTCAAATTTTAAATTTTCGAGCAAATGAGATCTACCAACGCAGTAATCAATTTTTAATGTCATTGATGTACGCAAATATTAACATAATATCTGATTTAAGAATTATACTTTGTTGTATACTAAGTCCTTTTTGGTTTTATGCGAAAAATTCTTCCAACGGAGCAAATGAATTTTTAATGAGATTTGAAATAAATAATTTTTTAATGCAAATTTTAAATTTTCGTTCAAATGAGATTTACCAACGCAGTAATCAATTTTTAATGTCATTGATGTACGCAAATTTTAACATAATAACTGATTTAAGAATTATACTTTGTTATATACTATACCACCAAAGATAAAATAAGAATTATTTCTTAATGAAAAAAGTAATGGAATTGAAGTAACATACTTGATTGTCATGGAAAATCACCTCCATTGATTCATTAATTCTACCAAATGAACTTATTTTGTACACACGGATTGCTCTCACATGAATGGCCATCGAGCTTCGATCTCTATCAATATCGACAAGCTTGGTCCACAACCCCGATGAAACTGCGATGGAAGACATTTCTTTTAATCTAGAATCATCTTTGTTTTGGTTATTAAAAGGGGAGATAGTTTTGCTTTTATATTCCAAGGAGGTTCTCTTAAAATAGAAAAAGAGATTACACACTCTCCAATGTATCACAATTAATTTTACGTGTCTCAATAAAGTGCCTTTTCTCTTTCCCATTTTAATACACACTAATCAATGTACACACTAATCAAGTTTGGGTAATTATTATCACATTCCCCCATAAAGCTCTACTTCCACTTGCAAGCCCACTTAATAGAAGGCAGGTCCAACTCGCCGACACAGTTCATTTGGGCGGGAAAAGAGACACTGTTCATTTTCACCACATTTGCTTTGTATATTAAAAGATTACTTAATAAAAAAACACAAGTTATAGAGGGTGTTTGTGAATGTGATGAATCTTGAAAAAAGACGTGCTAAGTTAGAAGTAGAAAACAATTATTCCTAGCTTTGGTGAAAATCACTTCTAGAGCACAATTTAAGGTATGTTTGGGAATAGCTTTAGCGATTAGCATTAGCGTTTTGAAAAGGCTATCTACGGACAACGTTTAGCGTTAGCGTTTTCAAAGTAATCTGCACCGTTAAAATTTTATCCAAAACGCTAACGCTAATCTCTAACGCTATTCCCAAACAGGCCCTTATACTTCTGAAATCACAATTCATATTCTTAAGCTAATTTGAAAACACTTAAAATTCTATTTCAATAAAATAGAAACTCAAAAGCTATTTTCAAATTCCTTATCAAACACCCTCTTATATTGGCTTCTGCATTAAGAAAAAGGCTTCTGGTACAAGTTTATCGCAGGTCAAATCTCTTCGTCGTTCGAAGCTACCCACTATTTACCTAAAGCCAGACCGTGTTTCACGTTTTCTTCCTCTTTAAGCTTTGTCTTGTATCCTCTGCTCGAAATCCCAGCTTTGAATGTCCGTGTTAGGAGAATCCCGACGAGTGTTGAATCGCGGGCCGGCATGTGAATGAACTCTGGAAAAGTCGTTCGCCAGAAATGTACAGAGCTAATCTGGTCGGATTTGTGTTGGCCGTGGCGTCCAGCGCCTTCATTGGATCTAGTTTCATAATCAAGAAGAAAGGACTCCAGAGAGCCGGCGCCTCTGGCTCCAGAGCCGGTAAGTACGGTGTTCTAATGCCCCCATTTCTGGTTAACGCTTTCTGATAATCCTGGAGATGGTTTGTTCTGCTTTTCATAATCATTGGTTCAAACCGTAAGTTTAGAAACATTGTGATTTGTATTGTGTTTTTTATGCATGTAGATGCTTCAATGGCAGTTTAACTAGAAAGTTAGTAGACCTCATGGGATTTGGCACCATTGATGTTTACTAGAATCCCTTTGACAAATAGTAGCTTGCTTCAAGTTGATATATCATCAAATAACTGCAGGAACCCATAGTTCTAGATATAATGAATGCTAGTGGGTCCCATTATTTTTCACGGGAAAATGAGTAGTCTAGGACAAGCAAGCCTCCAATGGTGCAAGGCTGTAAACTTACACCCTATAACATTTTGAACGATAGTTTAAATTGAGTAAGAACAACATTTTTTCTTCATTTGATGTTAATTTATTTAATTCTTGCAACTTAAATTGATAAATTAACACCTTAGCTAATTTTTCCATTTGAAGAAACTAATTCGATAGAGATAAAAGGCATGCTAAGCTGAAAATCTTCTTGAGTTTGAAGAGATTAACCATCTATCATCTATGAGTTATTTATTTATACAATTTTTGTTCCCCCTAATGTATTACAATAACAACAACCAACCGAGTAAAATCCTATAAGTGGGGTTTTGGTAGGGGGGGTGGGTACGCATACCATACCCCTACCTGGAAAAGGTTGAGAGACTATTTGAGAGAGGATCCTGGCTCGAGTATTTGCTAGAACCCCGTCAATTTTGTGTATGGTTTTTATCAACAATATAAAACAAATCGAACCAGACATAACTAGTATAGTAGTATGTTCCACTCAGAAGTAGGGTGTGGGGAGAGAGAGATGTACAAAGAGCTTAGCACTATCTTAGAAGTATATATGCTTTTTATGTGAAGACCTCCATCTAAGGGAAATTCTGGGTAGTTTTGGATGATGTTAAACATATGAACATTGAACAATGAGCATTCTTCGAAGTTTTTGAAAAGTTTCAAGATTTTTTCTAATTATGTTTAACAGTAAAAAAAGATATTCAAAGGTAAAAGATCCTGTGGAAATGTAGCGAAAAACTGTTTGGACAATAAAAGCATGTGATGAAGTAAGATAAAACAACATCAAGAGGACAGTACACTAAAGAGTAGGTAGGATTTTAGAAAAGTGCTAGCTACTCCCCACATAATTCGTTCCTAACTTCTGAGCCAAAAGAGCCCCCAAATTCCTAACACAGGTAGTTTACCAGCCTTCAAGAAATCTGATGCCCTTGTCTGGTGGTTTATTGAACTCCTATAAGAGGCCATTTCCTCAGATAAGTGTAACGCTAGTATGTCATGTGTCAATCATCCATCTATCTTCTTTTGTCCCTCGTCTCTCCTCACACACTGATTGAAATACTCTCTGTTCTCCTCATCGGTGTTTTCATATCTCTTAAGTGGGCATGGCCAAGCACTACTCTTCTGTCTACAATGGCACAACCGCATATCCATTGCAACATCCTCATTTCCACAACTTTGAATATTTGTTCTTGTGGCTTCTTTATCGCCCAACACTAAAACCCATGTATCATAGCGCACTGGGTAGTTAACCCTAAAGAATTTATCCTTCAGTTTTAATGATATATTCTTGTCACATAGCAATACTGCCACAACCCTCACGTTAACCATTCTGCCTTTAAACAAAACATAACAGTATCCATAATCTTTATTCTTTACATCTTTATCAATAATAGAACCCAAATGCTTGAAATTGCCTTTTTGTGGCACCATGTTTCTTTGAGGCTAACTTCTACCCCTTTCTCATTGCGCTCAGTGCTGGAGTTACACTAGCGATATTCAATCTTAGCATGGCTAATGTGTTAGCCTTGTGCTTCTGGTGCCCCTTCCACAAGTCTAACCTTGTGTTCACCTCTTCTTTTCTCTCAGCTACTAGCGCAATGTCATTTGCAAATAGCATATATCTCAGGACACTCTTTTGGATTGTTTTGGAAATCACATTCAAAATATGAACAGGCTTAGCCTTGATTGATGGTGTAGCCTTACTTCATAGGAAACAATTTTATCCCCCAATGGGTCCTAGGGTTAGGTCCTTGCTATGTGGTACTTTTTCGTGTCTCCTTCAAATGATTATTGAAAGTTGGAAACCTGTACTAAAATATGAATATTTCCATGACCGATTGACCGAACAATTTCTGTATGTGACTTTAACACTTGGGTGTTTCTTGGTTGGTATCATATGATAATGTTAAGTAAATGAGTTACATCCCCAAAGTTGACTGGACTTGGTATTGGAAAAAGATTCTTCAAATTAGAAGGGATTTCAGAGACATGCCCCATCAATGGGGCTTATACAGTTGGGTTGGGCAATAATTGGCTAATTGGTAGCAGGACAGGCCTGCGTGGATCAAATTAGTCAAGAACAACCGAAAAACTACTCCACGCCTAAGCATCAATTCCTAATGTGGTTAATAATTCATGAAAGTGTCCTTACCAAGGGCTAGGCTGGTGAGATTCTTGGATATTGACTTAATGTGCCTTTCAAGTGAGCAAGCCGTAGAAGATCAGCAACATTTGTTCTAGAGCTGCCCATATGCTACAACTCTTAGAGAATATATTTGGGGATGGCTTCAGTTGATAAAGATGAAAATGCTATTCGAACACTGTATATCAATAGAAGATGGGGGGCTTTGGTAGCTGTGTAGGCTGCAATATGCTATGCTGTTTGGAGCAAGGTTTTAAAAGGCGAAAACGAGCCTCAAGGCGGTTAGGCAAAATGCCTTGAGGCGTAAGCCTCGAGGCGGAACAAGGCGTAAGCCTCAGTTCAACTTGGAAAAAAAAACCATAATAAAAACTCTTTAGGTACAAAAAATAGAGGATCCATAATTATGTAAACTAAATCATAAAATCATACATAGGTTTTCATTTAAACAAAAAAAGGGTAAAATAAAAAGGAAATTAAATAATCCATATTCATGGTATTATTTTGACAGTACAATTTGATTCTCCAAGTTTTAGACTACTCAAAACTCAGCCTATCATCGTCTAAAACATTAATATACAAAACAAAGTTTAAGGTACTGCACAAATCACAACCAAGAGACTAAAAAACCACCATATTTAATAACAATAAATGACATGAAATTCAGCTTTCAAAAGAATCTAGAATTGAAATCATCACGAAACATCAGTGACTTGATATATTTAATATTAAATGACACAAACCTTCAAAAATATAATGGTCAAAAGGGGACTTATTTCATAATATGATTTCAGATTTCATAAATTATACTCAAGGTAGTCATACTCGAGATACTGCGTAGGATCTATGGGCTAAAAAAAGATTGTAACTCGTGATATTGTAACTCAGATTGTAAGATCCTATATATGTATGTATGTATGTATGTGTGTGTGTGTGTATGTAACACTAATATGTTTTAATTAAAGAAAACACAATACTTAAGTGTCACAAATCATTTAAAACTTGATTCCTAAAATAATAAAGTTGTAGCCGTAGTAAAAAAAGTTCTGAATAAAAAAGTGAAGAATGGAGTAAATACAAACGGAGTATATGGAGTATTAAAAAAGCTCAATAAAAAGGAAAAAAGTACCTGGGTAAAGAAAATTGTGATAAGACCACAAGTGCAATAAGAAAACAGGGAGTAGCCGTCCGAAAAAGAAAATAAAAAAGAAATAGGGAGTAGAGCTCTGGGAGCTTCGTAAAAAGAGAGTAGAGCCGTCAAAAAAAAAGAAAAAAAAAGAAAAAAAAAGAAAAGAAATTACAGAGTCGGAACTCGGAAGAGTCTGGTCGGGTAAAAACAGAGGCGCTTGACCTGTCGATCGAAATTCCGCTTGTTTTGGTCAATCGCCGATCCCACGAAACAAGATCCAAATTGAGGCTACCGCCTCACAAACACCTTATCGCCTCAACCGCCTTGGACGGCCTCAGAAAAACAAGGCGTGCGCCTCACAGATCCCACCTGGTGCGGACGCCTCTGAGGCGAGATCTGACTGCCTTACCGCCTTTCCGCCTCGAGGCGGACCGCCTTTTTCGCCTTTTAAAACCATGGTTTGGAGAGCACACGACTACAAGATTTTCCGGATTAAGGATGTGAAAGGGGAAGACAATCTTAGTCATGTCCAACATATTTTGGGAATATCCCATTAATTGTAAACTGAAGCAAACTTATACTCTCTCATGGTTTGACTTCACAGAAGTTAAGAAAGTTTTGAAAAGTAAAAAGTACGTGGTTGGAATTTACTTGGGAAATAGAGTTGTTAGGAGTCACATATTCTATTCTTGAAAAGGAAAGTGGAGAAGTACGCATTTTAGTTTGGGACAGGAGGAAAGTGTGAATTTAATTTGGGGGCGAATGAAGTATTACTTAGTAATTGAGTAAGTGGCTTGGTGTATGTATGCTTGTTGAATGTTTTGACCCTTCTGTGGTATTTTATAGAAGATGTGAATATATTGTGTGCTTTGTTAAAAAAAAAGAGAATCTTATTGTTCCCTACTCACCTTTGTATACCAACTCGCCGCCACAATTTTGATAAGTTTTGTTCTTTGTCATTAGGACATAAGATGTTGGTTTTCTTATTTGAAACCGTATCATAGGCTCTACAACAATGATGATTGGTTGAGGCATAAGCATTAGGTTTGTTTCATATTTTAGTTATGTTCAACCATCTATCTCTCCATCTGCTTGGATCATCCAACCAAGGAACCAAAACATGTCTCTTTTAGACACAGGGTGTGCATCAATCCTCACTTCTAGTCCCGGCTCAGATACCTACCCATTGACACAACATTCAACGTACTCCGGAATCCGACCTAGTATGAAATCTTTGGAATCCAAGCACTAATGCTAATCCTTCTCTTAGGGAGGAGCTTGGTCTTAGGGAGTAACCAAATGAGGGAAGACATCAATCTTAGAGGTGGCAATCGGGTCAACCGGATCGATTCCAGATTGGACTTTTGCGGTTCAGATATCTTTCAGATATATGTTATAATCGGTTTCGGTTCTGGTTCAGTTTCGAGTTGGTTCAGTTCAGATATAAATCAGTTCGAATACAAATTATACAATTTGGATCGGATATATTTTGGTTTCGGATCTAGTTTAGTTTGGATATCTTTTGGTTTCAGATATGTTTCAATCATATCTTGATCGAATATATTTTGGATATGTATTATTTTCTTATTAAAATTTAATTATCAATGTTTCTTTTTTCATTTTATCACATTTATCAATCTATCATTAATTCAACACTTCAAATTATTTTATATTTTACTATGTCCACCCTAAATAATCTTTCTTTTTTGACTTTTTAGTCATATTTTACAAATTTGGACTACAAATTATGAAAAAATATATATTTAATTATGATATAAAGTTAATATAATTAAATTGATTTTAAAATATCAATTTTTTATCACGTCTACTAATATCTTTATGTTTATAAATTCAAAGATTAGAGATAAATTCATACCTAATTTCATTCAAATGCTGCTTCACCTTGTTTTCCAAATATTTTATTACATTTAATTTTGTTAATAACAAAATAGTTGTCTCACTTTGGCCTTGTTTGGATATTGGCTGTCCGATGTTGGCTATTTGTGTCAGCTGTTCTGAATAGCTGTTTAGTTTAGCTGGTTTGTTGATCGTTAAAAATCTTTGGTAAAATTTGCTATTTAAGAATAGCTGTTTCAAGAATAAAAATTATATATATATATATATATATATATGTATGTATGTATGTATGTATGTATATATAGACACTTACAATATTTTTTTTATTTTTGTACATGTAAAAGTTAAATCTTTAATATATGGAGCACTAAATTTCACTTTCATATAATTCATAAAAAATTAATAGTATATAAAGTTTTAATGATTTTTTTCTTTTGATTTTTTCATCAGATATACTTTTTTTTTAATTTTTAATTTTTAATTTTTTTAACTTTTATTTTTTACATAAATTATTGAATATCTTTCTAGAAAAACAATTAAAAAAATTATCTTTTTTAACAGCCAAGTCTAATAGCTACTCCCTTTGGCTTTTCAGATTTTGGCTTTTCGAATCAAACAGTCAAGTGAAACAGCCATTAGCCAAACAATGATTTTGGTTGTTTGATTTGTCAAAAACGCCAAAGGCAGACAAAGATGCCAAAAGCCATCCGAAAAGCCATTTTCCAAACACAGCCTTTATTCATCCCATATTTTATATGTTTAACTTTTGTTCAATTTCTAAATATAATAAATTTAAGGCATGGGATTTTGTAATTTTTTTATGAGTGAATGAGCAAGTAATGAAATTTGTTCAAATGGAAAAATCAAAGTAAAAATTTAAAAATATAATATGCTTATTGAAAGGCAAACACACCTTCAAATTTTATCGGTTTCAGATCTAACCGGTTTTGGGTTTTACCGGTTTCGGGTATTATCGGTTTCAGATCTAATCGGTTTTGGGTTAATTCGGTTCGGATATAAACAGTTTCGGATCTAATCGGTTTTGGATTCAAATCGGATACGAATTAATTACTTCGGTTCGGATCATTTCGGATTTTTGGATTTTCGGATTTTCGGTTATAGATCGGATCTTCATTTTTTGGATCATTTTGGTTTCGGATAATTCAGTTTGGGTAATCGGTTCCGGTTCTATTTTGCCAGTTCTAATCAATCCTTCTCTATTTACTAAAGAAACTTTAGAAGTCCTTACAAATACTACTTTATTGACAATATCTGAACAATTTTGATGTTCTTGCAATTTAATGAATATTTTATTGTATTATCTTAAGAAAGACTCCCTTTGTCCCAAATTAAAAGTTCATTTTGGTTGGACATGGAGTTTAAGAAAATGGTTGAAAAGTGTGGTTAGAATTGATATGAAAGAGAGAAATAATGATGACCACATATTCCTTACCAAAAAAAGAAATAGACCTTAATTATGGGATGTACTAACAATGAAAGTGTGTTGTTTATTTTGGAACAAAGGGTGTATTTAGTATTATTATTTGTTACGAGTACTATTTTGTACTACCTCCCACCTAGTGTATTTGTCGAGTTTTTGACCATTTTTATAACATAATAAATATTAAAAAACTATGATAAAATGATCTTGTGAAAGTATTTTAAAAGACAAATCTAATGATATTTTGTGTGTTTTGTTATGCACTGCATTTTTAAATTAAATGCTTGTCAAAGTTTGTAACATATGACCGAGAAGAGAAAATTGGGCTTACGCCTCATGGCACAAAGAGACTTGCATGTGCATTTAGTGGCTTAGTGCAACTGCCTCAACTACTCAGCACACAATTACGAACACTGGAGTAAAGTAACTTAGAATGTTATATAATATGACTATATAGGATTTCCTTCGGTGGCTGATTAGTTCAGTATTTCAGGTTCTGGAGGGTATGGCTATCTACGTGAGCCACTTTGGTGGATTGGAATGATCACCAGTATGTAATTCTTGAAAGTGCAAGGTATTGAGAGGAGTATTGCGAAGATCTTCAATAAGCATTTGTAACCCTCATGTTCAATTTTTTGCAGTGATTGTTGGAGAATTTGCCAACTTTATAGCTTATATTTATGCACCAGCTGTGCTTGTGACTCCACTGGGTGCCTTGAGTATAATTGTAAGGTAAGTTTCTTGTTCACCTTATTATATATGAATAAGTGGCTTATCTATTTAAGTAAATAATTAGATATTCTATTTGTTTCTTTGCCAGTGCTGTTCTAGCTCATTTCTTACTAGGGGAAAAATTGCAGAAATTGGGAGTTATAGGATGCATTTTATGTGTGGTTGGTTCTACAATAATTGTTCTTCATGCACCTGGAGAACATGGTATTAGTTCCGTGGATGAGATATGGGATTTAGCTACACGACCAGGTGAACCATATGTTTATCCTGCTAATCTTCCCTTGAAAGTTTAACTATCAATTAATTATGTGATAGGTAGGTGAAGTATCCCTTCATAATAGTCCACTTTCTTCCATGCAGCTTTTCTTTTTTATACTGTGGCCTCAATATCAATAGCATTGATATTGGCATTATATTGCGAGCCTCGCTATGGACAAACAAATGTTATGGTGTATATTGGCATCTGTTCATTAATAGGATCATTGACGGTTAGTATTTGTTTCATCTGAACCGTTGTAGCTTTGTTTAATAGCAGTGTTTATTCAGTAAGACAGTTGATAGGAATCTGTACTTTCTAATGTTTTTCCTGACCTCATAAGTTGGTAATGCAAGACATCTTTAGTCTACTACTAAAAAATAAGATCGCTTTTTTTAAGGAAAAAAGTAAGATCGCTACTAGCATTCCATCTGTGGATATTCAGAAAACAATAATGGCCTGTTTGGGAACTTAAATTTTGATACTATATATTTTCTTCTCAAATTCTACAGATTGCAATGTTCATCCATTTTACAAACTGTTCTCTAAATCTCCAAAATGCTGTTATTTTTCATCAACAAACCACTATTTATCTCCATAAGAATGCAATTCCGTTGATGATTGAATGATATGTAGAGGACCTCTTACTATTAAATGCCATTGTCTGGCTTGCCATTTTGACAATGTTAAATAGATGTCCCTTTCAATTCACTTGATCAGGTAATGAGCATTAAAGCAGTGGGCATTGCAATCAAGCTTACTCTGGAAGGCTCAAACCAAGCTGCACACTTGCAGTCATGGATTTTTGTAATTGTTTCAATTTTGTGTATAGTCTCTCAGCTGAACTACTTGAATAAGGTCAATTTCTTCATTCACATGTGTATGCTCGTCTACTTGTTATTCTCAACAGTCTCATAAACCTTGTGTTATTTGAAAGGCTTAGTTTGTAGACTCTACTGTTTGCGCCAGGTTTCTTGGCCAATTTGTTGTCACTAAACAAAGGGTAGTGATAGCCACATCCGCATTAACAATAAATGCCCCCACCTGCTAAATGCACTCCATTATAAAGTCGCCCAAATTTTGACCTTGATTCCCACTCTCTTCCCTTTTTAGCCCATTTCCCATCCACTCCTGCACCAATCCCAGTCTGCCACCGACCAACCTCTCTGTCTCCATCTTGTACACTCCATGTCTCCATCTTTCTATCACTCTATGGCCCATGCCTGTATGAAAATTCTTTTAATATCCAGATTTGATTTGGGGAAGGGAGAGAGAGTGCAGTGTCGGTGGTGGGAGGTGCTGGTAGATTGGTGACCATAGCTGATGGTGATGGAGGAAGGAAAGAAATTACAATCTGTACTCAAGGAGTCAAGGGTAAATTAATCTTTTTACATTTGGTAAAAAAGTCGATAAAAAGCTGGGGTAGATTTAGTGTTGAGGTGGGTGTATGTATCACTACCCTAAAACGAATGTTCTCAAAATGATGACAATAGTTTATACCTGTTCAGGCTTTGGACACATTTAATACAGCTGTTGTTTCTCCAATCTATTACGCAATGTTCACATCACTTACAATTGTAGCCAGTGCCATAATGTTTAAGGTAAATTTCCAACTTGATACTCGGGAAACTGGAAAAAGTTTTGGCTTTCCACTTTCAGTTTCTCATTTGTTTCTATTGTCGTAGGATTGGTCCGGTCAGAGTGCTAGCAACATTGTTTCTGTGCTCTGTGGGTTCTTAACTGTGCTTTCTGGTACTTTGGTTCTTCACTGCACTAGAGATCCCGATTCTTCTGGTATGACATAAATTCAATTGCACACTAGATATATCTGCTAAAGATAGAACTTTGTTGGTCTTCATGGCCTTATTTTGAGAACCCTTTTGGTTTCTTAAATTTATTATTTATGGAAACATAATGCTCAATAATCTAATACTCCCTCTGTCCCAAAATAGATTACACAATTACTATTGGTCATCCGATGACTTATACTCCCTCCGTCCACAAATAAACTTTACGTTCACTATTCACAGGGTCAAACTTTATTTACTTTGTTGGCCTATTTTCGTCACCCATTTGATAAAATAATATTGTCATGTCACCTCTAGTTTTGTAGATCTTTTGATATAGTTTTTTAATATGTAATTTTTATTTTTCAATTCTACACTATTTTTCATATAAAATGATTTGAAAATAACTTCAGTCAAACATCGTAACGCGCAACGTAAAGTTTATTTGTGGACGGAGGGAGTATTTGTTTCTATGTTTTTATTGACCATTTGATAAAATAAAATATTTTTGGCACTACTTATTTTGTAGAACTTTTGATGAAGTTTTTAAATATGTAAGTTGCATTTTTTATTTCTATACCAATTTGTAAATAAATTAAATTTAAAAAGCACGGAATTTGCATGTTCTTCGAATTGTGTAATCAAATTTGGGAGAGAGGGAGTATAGCAATATAGTACTCCTCTGCCTGGAAACGATCTTCCCAAATCCCCTTTTTCTTGTCCGGAAAAGATCTTCCCATTACCTTTTTAAGCATGTAAAATACCACAAATACCCTCACTTTTCTCATTTATTACACTCCACCTACATCAATTAACACATTACACCCACTTTCATTAAAGTAAAATGGACATTTACATTGTTTTTTCAACTCTCCTTAAAATGCATGAAAGGTCAATTTGGGAAGACCATTCCCGGACAGAGGGAGTAGTTACTTATTGCTCCGTATAATGCTTCTTTAGAAATGGGAGACCAGCAGGTTTTTGGGTTAAGGTTTTACTCAAAGGGAGTGGTGAAGAATGTCATAGCTTTGTGACATGCTCTTATTTTTTTTAAAAATAATGAACGGAGTCGTTAATTCAAAAATTTTATAACCTGGGATTTCACAAACTTAGGAAATGAAGAAATCTTGTATTGACTTCTACTGGTCATTTGAAACTATTTCACTGCAGTCCTATTCAATTGGTTGATTAAACTATTAATACTTTTGATGGTATGCAGATCTGTACACACCAGTTTCTCCTCAGATATCATGGTTGGTCCATGCCAATGGCGAGATATGGAAGCAGAAGGACGACGATCTGCATCCTGAATTTGTTGCAATAATACGTCAGGATCATTTCAAGTAAGCCAAAAAACTTTGCACTTGTGAGAAGACTTTGGCATGGACTCAGTTTTGGTTAGCGGCATATGCATTAATGAGCCGGACTGTTTGAAATTTGGTTTCAGGTTTGCAGGGTAGTTTCCATCCCATTACATTCCCGATCGAAGCAAATGAGATAGCTTCATTTTCGCTGTTATAAAAATTCCAGTTTCTCTAAAGGGTGCCCATTTTAGGTTTGGTAGGTCGGCATGCTTGTTAATAAATATTTTTTCTGATTCTTATTCCTGCAAACGTTTCGGCAGCAGGGTTTGTGAATATGTTGTAAAATGGTCTGGTTTTCAGGAATTAGGCTATTGAGTATAATAAGACTTCTATATAATCTTAATCACTGGAGTGAAGATTGGCTTGACCCTTTTTTCAGCATTTCTGTAATATTGTTGGGTTGTTGTACTTGTGCAGGATAAAAACGACTTTTGGTTCAGAGAGTTGGTCTCTGTACAATTTAGTGCCATAAATTAAGAGCCTGTTTTATAACAATTTCAATGTTTAGCTTTAGCATTCTCAAAATTATTTGAAATGCCAACAGAAATTAATGATGTCTTATCAAATGGATAAATAAATGACGGAGTTGCGGAGGAAATGAATATGAAATAATATGGGGCGCACAAAATGGAGTAAAATTAGGAAGAGATAAACCAAATCAGGGATAAGAGATAAGCTCATACGACTTATCTTAATTTGGGGCCAAATTAATACTAAACGATATATGCACTTAATCAAATAACCATAATTTAAAGCTCAGACTTTTAAGATGTAGAATTAGAATTTTAGTAAAGAAAACACTTTTAAGATATCGAATTAGAATTTTAGTAAAGAAAACATTACACCATTTGAATGAATTACTCAAAGAATAAAATAAAGGGGTTTTTTTTATTATCAAAGTCTTGGATTACAAGGCATATGGCGGAACTTATATAGGCAACAATGGAAAGGCATTTAGCTAGTAATACATATAATAAGACAAAGCAAAAGTGGAAAGAAGCTTCCAATTATCACTATTCATTAAAGTGATGTACTTCTTTGGTGCTATTACATGGGAGGTTATTTGATCTAGCTTAGTGTGAAAAATGACTCACTTTTGGAAGATGATTAATAGCCAATTTCGAGTTCATGGAGTGAGAATCAAAGGTAAGACTTTTATGACACAAGAACATAAGAATTGGACTTTTTTCTCCTTATTTTCGGCAAACAAGTGCAGGGGTGACTTGATCCTATCTTGTGTGTAAAAATGACTCACTCTTGGGAGATTATGATAGGGAAAGAAAAGACAAAGGAAACATTAGGTGGCTAAATAGAAGACTTAAAATGATAAATGACACGTTTGGGAATAGTGTTAGAGATTAGCGTTATCATTTTGAAAATGCTATCTACGGGCAGCGTTTAGCGTTAGCGTTTTTAAAGTAGCCTACACCGTTAAAATTTTATCCAAAATGCTAAATCTCTAATTTTATTCCCAAACATGTTGAAAAACAAGAAACTTAAGTTTTATTTGTGTTCTTTATTCTTATTTTCGGCCAAGGATTTCAAATGGATGGAGGAGACTTTATCTTGGTCTTAAAACACACATTTAGATGTTTTGGGAATATTGTTTTTCAGTGGAGCCAACCAAAATATAATATAAATCATCTCAGATAATTTTAGTACACCATCATATGATTTTTTTTCTTGTGAAACTCAATATTGGATAAACCAAGCCACTTCTAGCCTTAGTTCTCATCACGTATGACACGTGTCCTACTCGTATTTAAAGAATAATGACATAAATGTTTTTAATTATTTGCTACGGAGTACAATTTTTAGTACCGGGAAAACAAATGCATTAGATTGGCTCTTGTTTTCATTTGAGGAAAGGTTGGGCCTTTTAAATAATTCAACACATTCAAATATCTTTCTTAATTACTCCCTCTGTCCCATTTTAAATTGTCTGTTTGCTTTTTTTTTTCCGTCCCAAAAAAGTTGCTTGTTAGTTATTTTTGTAAACTTTTAAAAATAAAATACCTAAACTACCCCTAAAATAAATCACTTTTCTTCATCTTATCTTCTCATTCATCATCACCCCTCCCAAAAAGTAATGAAAATTTTGGAAAATCAATTCTATTTTTTATTTTTCTTAAATATGCCCAAAAGTCAAAACAGACGATTTAAATTGGGACGGAGGGAGTAGAAGTTTTTATTCAATATTAAAAAAAGAGTGAAACTCTAAGGTTCATTTAGAAAGGTGGAAAATGACATCTGGGAGTCATTTTTTTTTTCTCATTTTCTAAAGTTTGATAATATTACGGAATACAAAATGGGAGTATGAGGAAATTAAGCCTTTGGTCTATAGAAAGTTTGGTCTAAAATTTAGAGATTGACATCTATCTTTCAATTCGAGAAGTCATTTTCCATGAGCTCATTTGCCATTTTCCTTCTCTCTTCCTCGCCCATCTTCACCGTATTTTGTCACCTCCGTCCGCTCTCCAAATCCCCTCATCTTCATCTTCCCATGCATTATTCGCATGCTTAAATTTTAATCATTTTGTTTGGTCATTTTCACTACTCATTTCATAATATGATATATTTAAGTTACTTCTTATTTTGTAAAACTTTTTATCTAGTTTTTAAATATATAAATTTTATTTTTAAACTTTACACTTACAATTAGATAAACTAAATTAAAAATAAAATCGGTCAAACATCACAACGAAATAAGAAGAATAAATCCAAACGGAGGGAGTAGTTATTTTTACACTTATGACAAGAACGCAATATGGGACTTCTTGGTGCAAAGTAAATACTCAGTATGAAAAAAAGTCACCGACTAAAAGACATAAGGGTCCGTTTGGTACACAGAATTGATGGAAATGGAATTGAATTGAATTAAAATTCAATGGGATTCAATTCCATAGAATTGAATTCACCAATTTCAATTCATTTTTTGCACTACCAATTCCAAATCCACATAATTTGTGTGCTACCAAACACGAGAATTGGAATTGAAGTCCTCAATTCCAATTCAATAATTTGAATTCCGTGTACCAAACGGGGCTTAAAGGATTTTCAAAAGGCGAGAAGAGCAAGACGCCTAGGCAACGCCTAGCCTTGATAACTGTGCTTCAAGAGGGAGGTAGAAGATAAGAGTTCCTGACAGAAGCGTTGGCTGTCTTGCAGTATAGTTTGAGCTAACAAGCAAAATCATCTACTCCCTCCGTCCCCCTGTATTTGTCCACATTTGATTTTTGGAAATGTTCATCTAAGCACTTTGACTCATCAAATTCTCTCATTGTGTAAGCCTAAATATAGTCATGTGTGATTTTGTTTGATTTGTCTTAACATATAGATTATTAATATATAATTTCTATAATTTTTTAATATACAAATTACAAGATAAAATGGATTAAAGAAGTGCATTGGATGGTGTGTAAAAATGAAAGTGGACAAATACAGGGGGATGAAGGGAGTATGATATACACGTTCTAAATACAGACCGAGATCCTACAAAATCAGTATTGTTCCAGACAAAAAAAAAATGTAGCAAAGCCTAAGACATTCAGCATGCTATATCTATCATATGTAAACAGGCTTGACATCATTAGCTGTAAAGGTGGTTGCACAAAACGGGCATTTACGATTACGCGATTCGATGAGTTTTAGGACGCAAGGATTGCAGAACAGATGGTAGCATTTTGTGACGACAACCTGAAACCGAAGAGCGCGCGTGAAAATCACACACAAAAACTATCCAACCAAACAAACCTAGTATATAATCCCACTTGAGAGGGAAAAACTTACACTATGTTTGGTTCAAGGAATTTGAGAGTGAAACGAAAAGAAAATGAGAAGGAAAATAATTTTCTTGTTTGGTTAGAGAGGAAAATAAAAGTGGAAGGAAAAGAAAATGAGTAAGCAAAATGTACTAAGAGGAGAGAAGAAAACCAAATTCCTTCCATTTTGGTGAGGAAAATGAGGTAAACTATTTCCTTTTTTTCCCTTTCAAATTCCTTGAACCAAACATAGTGTTAAAGATCAAATTTTGAATTCATATACCTCCTTACGCCTGTCGTGGCATACACCACAGTTGAGTATTTCCTTGTATTTCTTTAGCATCTGTCGATGCTTTTGGATTACGGATGATCCCTCAATTTCTGACCTTAGACGTGTAATCTTTCTCCTAATGGCTTCTACTTCCTCTTCTGCCCTTTTCCTTTCAAATCTAAAAAGAAAAGAAAAAAGAAATTAAACATAAGAAATTGGAAAGGCAGACTGGGTTGTCAGTTGCAGACCATACAGTACCACAAAGTGGGTGTGAAGGGTCTAAAATTAATTCTATCTGCAGATTACCTTTCTTTCTCTAGATCTATCTGCAGATCAGACAGATGAATTCGACTTTTATCCACCTTGGACTGCAGTTCTTCAAGCGCCTCTCGCTGTTGCTGGGATGCTTTTCTCACATCTATTAATCTCGTCTGTGCACTTTCCAAAGCAGCTCTATTTTGAACTCTGTCTTCTGCAAGTCTTTGGGCTTGCTCTGAGCAACCTCTTAACTGCAATGAAAACAATATATATTGTCAATCAATCTTCATCATCATCTTAATCTGCACCTTTGTTCTATTAATTGGGCTTGGCATCCGCCTAGGCAGTAGCCATGCCCTGGTTTTGCCCGTCAATCATAGAAACGGCCTGCCAATAGGCAGCGTATATGGGCCACATAATCATTTAACAGAAGTTAACACAATAAAATCATGCAAAACATGTAGAATGCTATGTTGATGCCCTTCCCGTTGCAAACTTCTTAGATAAGAATAATGAGATGAAATTGGACTCCAAGTACTTAGTCTTTCTCCTACTCAATCTAAACCTCTAGACTCAAAGGTTTTCCTCCAAACCACTTGTCGTTCAGTAACTCCATCCATTTTGTGGATAAAAACAATAACGCGTGCAAATAGCATGCACTAAGGTACTCCCTCCCGGGTATGCCTCGTTAATTAATCCATCACCATGGCAAATAGAAAACTAAGAGCAGCCCTAGACGCGACCTTATCTCAACCGGAAGTCGCCTGAGTCTCCTCTGACCATCCTAACTATACCCTAGGCTCCATTATAACTATCCTTGATCCCTCTAATATATGGCACACCTCTGAACTCCAGACATCACCATTAGACTTCCCTGAGGACTTCCAAATTGGTCTTCACAAAAATCACCTCCTTCCTCATACTTTTGTCAACTACCTGCTCACTAACCTTCATAATGTGGCTTAATAGCTTCATGCCCCTATAATATTTGCAATTTTGGGTATCACCCTTGTTCTTGTCCAAAAGAACCATTGTACTCCACCTCCATTTTCTGGACATCTTAGTTGATTTAGATATGACATCGCACAACTCTGACAGCCACACTCCCCAACTTGTCTGCGCTTTTCAAGCACTATACCAAGATCTCATCCCATCTAGTTAACTCCCATTCTTCATGTTGCTAACTACAATAGCAGA